CAACAAGGATGAGTTGGGTCTGTCTGGGGGGAGGGGGGTGTGGCGGTAAAAAGAACCCACTTGATGGAAGGAAGGGACAGTGCAACGGCTCAGAGTCAAGGACTACTCAGGGGAATGGCTAAATCTAGGGTCTGTGCAGAGAAGGAATAGTAGAAGAGAAGGGTGGAGAGGTAAGTGAAGGTTATGAATTGCTATAAGCTCTTCAGATTTTATTGTATCAGGCGGTGGAGAGCTACTTCCCTAATTTGAGTGGAGTGACTGCTCAGGCCTGTGCTTCAGGATGACAAGGCTGGAAGTGGCTGGCGGGGAGGGCAGAAGGGAGGGGGAGTGAGCACAGACTACTGGCAGGGAAATCACTTTAGAGATGACCATAAATAGCTCTGCTATCAACACCTCCCCCACAACGCTCCCCCTTCCCATTTTCTGACTTCTAATAATGGCATCACCATTCTCCCAGTGCCAGCAATGGAAGTCTGAGTCACTGTGCCTCCACCCCCGTCCAGCAAGCTGCAATTCCTACAGATGCCATCTCTACACCGCCTCTACCGTGTTGCTCCTTCTTGAGGGTCCTGCCCGGACCCCGTGTCAGGCCTATCTCTCGTTCAGGAACCCTGGCCTCTCTTCCCCAGGCCTGCTCCAATACTCTCTGACATCCCCTCACTGCTGGGCCAGATGTTCCCAGATGTTACCCCTCTGCTGACAAACAGAACATGAAACAAACATAGGGTGAAACGAAACCCCTCGAGTGTCCACCAGCAGGAAGTGCAAGGCCCTCACTCTCCTTGTCTGCCTGGTCAGCTTCCTCCCTGTCTTTTTTTTCTTTTTAATTTATCTATTTATTTTGACTGTGATGGATCTTTGTTGGTGCATGGGCTTTCTCCCTTGTTGCAGAGAGCAGGGGCTACTCTGTAATTGTAGCGCGTGGGCTTCTCACTGCAGTGGTTTCTCTTGTTGCGGAGCACAGGCTCTAGGGCATGTGGATTTCAGTAGTTGCTACATGTGGGCTCAGAAGTTTCCCTTCCCGGACTCTAGAGCACAGGCTCAGTAGTTGTGGAACAAGGGCTTAGTTGCTCTGCAACTTGTGGGATCCTCCCAGACCAGGGATAGAACTGGTGTCTCCTGCATTGGCAGGAAGGTTCTTTACTACTGAGCCACCAGAGAAGCCCCTCCCATGTCTTAAAGACCTGTGAGAACACATGTGATAGGTGTTTCTGCTCTGAGCTCACCAGGGTCTCCTCCACCAGAGGTGGTTTTCTCTTCGTCAGATGCCTGATGTGTCATCTAAACTCCTCTTGAGATACTTGTCTGTTATGTTTGGTTTGTGCTTGATTTGTGGCTTCCTAAGGGTAAAATTTGGAAAACTCAGCAGTGGCCACAGGACTGGAAAAGGTCAGTTTTCATTCCAATCCCTAAGAAAGGCAATCCCAAAGAATGCTCAAACTACCGCACAATTGCACTCATCTCACACGCTAGTAAAGTAATGCTCAAAATTCTCCAAGCCAGGCTTCAGCAATATGTGAACCGTGAACTTCCAGATGTTCAAGCTGGTTTTAGAAAAGGCAGAGGAACCAGAGATCAAATTGCCAACATCCGCTGGATCATCGAAAAAGCAAGAGAGTTCCAGAAAAACATCTATTTCTGCTTTATTGACTATGCCAAAGCCTTTGACTGTGTGGATCACAATAAACTGTGGAAAATTCTGAAAGAGATGGGAATACCAGACCACCTGACCTGCCTCTTGAGAAACCTGTATGCAGGTCAGGAAGCAACAGTTAGAACTGGACATGGAACAACAGACTGGTTCCAAATAGGAAAAGGAGTACGTCAAGGCTGTATATTGTCACCCTGCTTATTTAACTTATATGCAGAGTACATCATGAGAAACGCTGGGCTGGAAGAAGCACAAGCTGGAATCAAGATTGCCGGGAGAAATATCAATAACCTCAGATATGCAGATGACACCACCCTTATGGCAGAAAGTGAAGAGGAACTAAAAAGCCTCTTGATGAACGTGAAAGAGGAGAGTGAACAAGTTGGCTTAAAGCTCAACATTCAGAAAACTAAGATCATGGCATGGGGTCCCATCATTTCATGGCAAATAGATGGGGAAACAGTGGAAACAGTGTCAGACTTTATTTTTTTAGGCTCCCAAATCACTGCAGATGTTGACTGCGGCCATGAAATTAAAAGATGCTTACTCCTTGGAAGGAAAGTTATGACCAACCTAGACAGCATGTTAAAAAGCAGAGACATTACTTTGCCAACAAAGGTCCATCTAGTCAAGGTTATGGTTTTTCCAATAGTCATGTATGGATGTGAGAGTTGGACTGTGAAGAAAGCTGAGTGTTGAAGAATTGATGCTTTTGAACTGTGGTGTTGGAAAAAAACTCTTGAAAGCCCCAAGGAGATCCAGTCAGTCCATCCTAAAGATCAGTTCTGAGTGTTCGTTGGAAGGACTGATGCTGAAGCTGAAACTCCAATACTTTGGCCACCTGATCCAAAGAGGTGACTCATTTGAAATGACCCTGATGCTGGGAAAGATTGAAAGTGGGAGAAGGGGACGACAGAGGATGAGATGGTTGGATGGCATCACCGACTCGATGGACATGAGTTTGAATAAACTCTGGGAGTTGGTGATGGACAGGGAAGCCTGGCATTCTGCAGTCCATGGGATCGCAAAGCGTCGGATACGACTGAGTGAATGAACTGAACTAAACAGGGAATTTGCACATGACCTAGACTCAACAACTTAGTTGAAGTTTGACTAAAAATGTGCAAGGGTGGGAGTTTCCAATTTTGCTGACCCCAAACTGGAGGATCTAAGCACCTTTCCTTGAAACATCATCTTTCTCTGAGGTGGCTTCAGGGCCAGTAGTTTTCATCACCAAGAATTCCAAACAAGTGCAATAAACAGGGACTCTGGTTCCTCCTCTTTTCCCTTAAAAGAATGATGGGCTATTAGCCAGGTATATAGATATGAACTGGCTTCCCTGGTGCCTCAGACAGTAAAGAAGCTACCTGTAATGCGGGAGACCCAGGTTTGATCCCTGAGACGGAATGGCAATCCACTCCAGTATTCTTCCCTGGAGAATCCCATGCACAGAGGAGCCTAGCAAACAAAATCCATATCACTCAGTCTTTACCCTCAGGGTCACAAAGAGTCAGGCATGACTGACACTTCACTTTCATGCGTATGAACAAGAGTTCTGCTACTTCCCAGCTGTGTCTTTTTGAGCAAGTGTCCTAACCTCTCTGAACCAACGTAGCTGACACCAACTGCCTCACCAAATGGATACTGGATGGACAACGCTGCCATGGAGCTGGAGCCCTGGGAGGTGGGGCAGTGAGAGGAGTTTAATCTGAATATTTTGCCTTGACTATCCTGGGCTGCTGCTGTGCTTGCAAAGGACTCATGTGTTCCCACCCTGATCCCTCTACAGGTAAGGGCCAGACTCTGGAATACGCTGAGGCTTTAGTACTGCCTCTTGCCAGGCCTCCGATACCCTGGTCCACAATATAAAGAAACAAAATGTGGAGAGCAATTTCTATATAACCATTTCAGAAGTGGCAGTACAGGTAAGTTGTACATAACAGAATCTGATCTTTTGGGCCAAAAGGACGCTGGGGGGGGGGGGAGGGTATTCTCCCAGTTTATAGGTATAAACAGTGAGGCCTTTGTACCTGATGCTACTAGGATGGCATGAAAGCCAAATACCAGAGGCTTCCATGGTCTCTGCTTGTGGGTTTTTGTTTTTTTCTTTTCTTTTTTCTATTTGGGTTTTGAGCAAGAGAATTGGGAACAAAATGAAAGTGATGATGGGTTATTCTGGGACATGCTGGCTCAAAGTCAGGCCTCTGAATAAGGCCTTAGACTTTGGGGGGCTCCCAAACAGCCCCACTTTGGGCCCAGCCTACTAGATCTCTGGGCCAAAGCGGTAGCTCTGCCTGGCTGAGACAGAGAGAAGGAAGCTTTGAAGTCAGTAATTCAAGGTCACTTTGCTGGCCTAGCTCCATCTGGCAATGTTGACTCTGAGGCAATGAAGGGGAGAGCTGGGAACACAGGGCAGAAAGAGATGGCTAGCACTGGAGGGAGCTGGTGTAACTGGGAAAGTGGGGGGCTGGCCTCAGATGTTTCTAAGTAAAACCCAGCCCCAGCTGAGACTTGGGTTGTTTATTGCCGAACCAACCAGTATTGTCTTTCCTATGAAAGCAGGCAAAAACGCGCCTGGTAGATTATTCAGCCAGGCTACTTGAGTACTGCCTGATAAGCATCGGTGGTTGTACAGGGTGTGTCCCAAGGCTTTAACATATGTTTTTTCACCCAAGTCTTCTGGCAGCCTTGTTACTGTTATCGTTCCCCTCTCGGAAGGGAGGGTACAGAATGGCTACGCTGAATGACTTCGAGGACTAGCAGCCTGAACTGCTGAAGCAGCGGGACTCCAGTTCTTGAGTCGGGTCAGTCTACCTAACGCGTAGGAGGATCTGAGAGCGAATCCGAGAAGACCCGAGGTGGCCACGGTCTTAGTTCCAGAACGCGGAACCCGCACTGGTTAATGCGCCCGGAAATTTCAGCCCAGCCAATGCGAAGGATGCAGTTGTTTGTTCAGATTTGCCTTTTTGGGCTTACTGAGGCGTCAGCAATTGACACTCTGGTTTAAATAGGGCATCCTGGAGTGAGAGTTTTTCCTCGCTCACGGCTCCCCCAATCCTCCAGCTCCCATCCCCTGCTCCCGGGTGCCAGTCGGTCTCGGCGTGTTCCAGAGTCTGGCCTTGACCCGTAGAGGGATCACGGTCTCACTCGCCTCTCGCTCCAGTGGAGCCGAGTCTCCTCCGGTGCCCAACGAACCGCGCGCCGGGTGCGGGGGCGGAGCCTCGGCTGGTGCAGGGCCGGGGGAGGAGTCCCCCGGCCTGACTCCGCCTCCTCCCGGTGAGGCCCAATAGGGTGGCGGCCCCGGCAGCCCCGCCCCGGCCCTGCCCGCGCGGCCCGCGCTTCTCAGGCCTCCGCAGCCCGCCGCCAGGCAGCCGCTAGCAACAGCCGGCGCTCGAATCTCGCCTACTCCAGTTCCTTCGCTCGCTCATCCGCAAGTCCGACCGCCCACCCGCTCTGGATGGCTGGTTACCTGCGGGTCGTACGCTCGCTCTGCAGAGCCTCTGGCTCCGGGTCGGCCTGGGCGCCAGCAGCCTTGACAGCCCCCAACTTGCAAGAGCAGCCGCGGCGCCACTGTGAGTGCCACGAGGAGGGTCCGGGCGGGGTGCGCGCCCGGCACCGCGACGTGGCGGCCTTCCGGGCGGGGACCAGCGAGCGCGACCCGGGACGCCCGCGGGCGGGGACGGCGGGGTAGGGCACACAAAGAGCCGGCGGACGGGGCTTGCTCCCCTGCAGCACCTTCCAGGCCGTGCCAGTCGCAGGGGTGGGGACTTGAAGAAAGGTGGCAGCTGGTGGCCCGGGGCGATCTCGGCCCTTGCAGCCCTGAGTCCCCAGATTTTCCCGGAGGGAGTTCTGGGGGTATCCCGGGCTCGGGGGGTATCCTGTCCGCCCTGCGCTCCTGGAGGGAGACAAAGCAACCGAGTGGGTGCCGGAGCGCCTGGCCCGCTCCCCAGCGAGAGGGAGGGTCGCGGCGCGGTCCCTGATCAGACAAAGAAGCGGAGGGAGGAGGCAGCCACTTCCCCTTCCTTCTCACCCTGGGCGCTAGGTAATCCCTGCTCGCTGTCAGGCGCTCTTCAGCTATTTTTGGAGCCTTTTAGGCTACAGCTGGAGGAACGTCCTTTTTATTTTCGCTTTGTTTGGATGCCCCCGTTCTCCTTGACGACGCACTTGAAGCTCCATCCTGGGGCCTGTCCTTGGCTTGACCGGCCTCTTCTAGCCAGCCGACTCCCGTGCCACTCCTGGGCCTTGCCTAGCTCACCCGACCAGGAGACTTGGCAACCGAGCCAAAATGTCACTTTCCCAAATCGTGCGTCATAACTTCGGTGATACCCTTAGTCCCCTGCTTCGGAGAGACGGCAGAAGTCTTTTTTTGTTTGTTTGTTTGGCCGTGCCAGGTCTTCGTTTCGGCATATGGACTCTAGTTCCCTTATCCGGGATCGAACTCAGGCCCCCTGTATTTGGAGCACGGAGTCTTAGCCACTGGACCACCAAGGAAGTCCCGAAACGGACAGTAGTCTTGATAAGCAGGGCATAATAAGCAGGACGTAGCCTGAACTTCCATTACCAAGGCAGTCTTGCCCCTCTGACATTGGTCTGCCCCCTGCCTCTCCATCGCTGGCTGCAAAGGCAGGGAACAATGTAGGTCTTTTGGCCCTGGCTACTGCCTGTTGCCATGGAAACCCCTCTCCTGACCTGGCCCGCAGCCCCTTGGAGTGAGGACAAGGGGGTGGGGCCCAGGCAACTTGGTCTTACTGCTGGAGTAGGTAATCTTTAACCTAGTGTGGGAGCAGCTGACCAGAACCTAGAAAGGCCCTGGCACCCTCCCTCTCCTTTCAAGGAGAAAGGGGCATTTCTGTTTTTGTATACTCATGGAATTTGTCTTTAAGGAGCCAGCCCTGCAACTCAAGGTTCCATGTGTCCCCAGACCCCAGACAAAGTTTCCCATATGGCACAACCTTCAGCAAAATATGGCAGGAGTTAGATACATTCTCCACTTCTCCCTTTTATTTTTTCTTCTGCACATATGGTAAAAAAATAAAAAATAAATAAATTTTAAAAACCCCACATAAATAAGAAAACAGAGCCCCTTTGGGGGCCTGAATTTTGGTAACACATAAAAAGAGCAGCCAGTGGCAGGTCCTTTCAGAAGCCCCTAAGAGGGGTTTGGTTATTAATGAGGAGAAAGCCTGGTGTTTGAGTTGGACATGCATACGACCGTACAGTTGTGACCTCTGCTCGCTTGTTACTTGGCAACGCCTCTGGAGACAGAATACTCGGCATTCCCCTTGATGACAAGAAAAGAATATGCTTTGGCTAAAATACTCGTGTTTTTGCTGCCGGGTAATTCCCACACGTGTCTCTTTCTAGTTTTGCAATTCACAGGCCTCCTGCGACTGCTGGTGGTGGTTCTGATAAGTTAGCCTGGGGAAGTGAGGGTGGGCTCTTCTCAACTGCTCAGTGGGATCTTTATCTGGCCTTCCTTCTCTCCGCTTCTAGCCTGGGAACTTCTTACTTTTCTCACCCCCCTGTTCCTCAACTTTTCAGATCTCCATGACCTGCTTCAGATCTTGGTGACTTGTTTGCCCTTTTAGATCAGAGGAAATTATTTAACAGTTGTTCAACGTTGTGCAGACCTATCAGTAGTGTTCTTATGTGTTCTCCACTGAGCCTTGTTTCAACTGCATCAGATAAGACCGTAGCTACCCCATCAGATGTGGCGCTAGGGGTAAATTAACCGTCTGCCAATGCAGGAGACATAAGAGAGGCAGGTTGAGGCCCTGGGTTGGGAAGATCCCCTGAGGAGGGCATGGCAACCCACTCCAGTATTCTTGCCTGAAGAAGCCCATGGACAGAGGAGCTTGGCATCCATGAGGTTGCTGAGAGTTGGACACACTGCAGCGACTTAGCATGCACGTACCCCATCAGGGGTGTTTTGGGTGGTCATGTTTCGGCCCTGTAGGTTTTGAAGAAAAACTTCTGGATGGGCCTGGGGCCTGCCCCCCAGATCCTTTATGGAAAGCTGTGACCTCTTTTACTGATTCCAGGATGGGGTGTTGGAAATTGCTCTCTGATTACTGGAAGTCAGCCTTGTGACTTGCTCTGGAGTTTACACTACTGTAAACCCATGTTTAAAATGCCAACAGATGGCAAATATTAACACACGATAAATAGTGAGTTACTCCGGCCCATTACCTGGCAGAGAAGCCACCCAAGTACACTCGTGATGGTCTGGTGCCATTTCGTGGTGAGAACTCACTGGCCTTTGTGGTAATGCATCCCGGGATGGGGGAGGGGATGGAGTAACTTTCTATCCAAAGAGGAGGTTATGACAGGGCAGCCCTGACCAGACTGAATTGACCGTAGCTTGACATTCATTCATGGACTTCAGCAAATATTGTGCTTCTACTATGTGCCAGGCACTGTGCCAGGGACACTATGGGGACAGAGCTGGGCATAAGGGACAAAGATTTCTGTCCTTATGGAGCTTAAATTCTAATGTGAGGAAGGACAGTAGACACGGTAGAAGTTGGCTAGTGTGATGTATGGTGACAAGAGCTAAGGAGAACAAAGAAGGGAGAAAGACATGGGTGAAAGTTTGGGTAGTGCTGCCAGATAAGACCCCAGTGAATGAAGGATAGTAAGTCCCCTACATATGACCTAGTTCTGTTAGGAGAGTACGTTCCTAAGACCCATTTGTTCGTAAGTCCAACAAAGTTAGCCTAGGTGCCCAGCTAACACAATGGGCTATTTAGTACTGTACTGTAATAGGTTTATAATACTTTTCACATAAATAGCCCATAAAAAAGAAAAACATTTTTAATCGTACAGAACAGTGCCTTGAAAAGTACAGGAATACAGTACAACACTGCATACAGGTGCTGGCATCAAGTGAACAGGCAAGAAGAGTTACTGACTGGAGGCGGGAGATGGTAGAGCGGAAGGGTCGTCAGCAACAGGAGACGGAGGGCAAGCTGCAGTGTCACCCACGCCTGATGCTGGTGGCATGGATTCCAGTTCCTTCTGGAACCAGATGCAAGTTCGCATCTTTGAAAGTTTGCATCTTGAAGGTTCATACGTAGGGGACTTACTGTTCTGAGGGAATAAGGGTATGAATACAGGCCCTTTAGTGTTCAGGGGAAGAGGGAACGTCGATGCCAAGGCCATGATGCAGGAGGGCTCCTTTGCTTGTTGGAGAAGCAGAAAGTCAGGCTGGCTCAGAGTGCGCGATGGGAGATGAGGTCAGGCTGTGAGTGTTGAGGGGGGGGACTTGTAGGCCATTTTGGAGGATTTTGGCCTTTTCTGAGTGAAAGAAGAGGCTATTCAGGGCTTTGAGAGGAGTGTAACTTGATTTACATTTTACCAGGAGCATTGCTATCATCAGAGACCTGGTAGGAGGGTGGCTTGGACCTTGGTGGTGGTTGGATTCTGGGCTTATTTTGTAGGAAGAGCCAGTAGAATGTGATGGTTTGGACGTGGATGCCGGAGAAAGGGAGACGTGAAGAATGACACCAAAGAAAATGCTAGAGCCTCTTCTGGAATTGCTGCACTGCCTTCTTGAACCCTCAGGAATTGGGGGCTTCCCCCCACATTCTACGAGGTCTCTCTGCTGACAGGAGTGTGGGTGGGAATGTGGTGAAACCAGTTACATAGACAGAGGGCGGCGAGGGGGTGCCCGTCTTGGAAGCGCCCTTTAGCCTGGAAGCTAGATCTCTTTACTCGAGAAGCAAGAAGATCCTGAAACCGGGGCTGGGTTTTGAAATCCTTACTCCATGTTCCCCGGCTGGGAGCTGGCCTAACGGACCTCTTGGGACTGGTGTAATTCCATCCCACACTCTGCCCAAGGGGACAGTGTTTGTGCAGCAGGTCGTCTGAAGATTTCATGGTGACTGTTACTTGGATTTCAGGTCACCTGTCACCACCTGTCTCCCAGAGAGAGGCAGATGGTGGGGTTGTCTCCACCATAGTGGCTAAACAATAGGCAAGCTTTCAAACTCCGATGCCTTGGGGTGCTCTGGAGGGCATGTGGCAGGGCTGGGATGGAGGGTGAGGCTGACCTCTATCAGCCTGTCCTTCCTGTGGGCGAGCAGGGGCTCAGTGGGATGAAGTGACTCCTTCTTTAAGAGGGACTGGATTTTTATGTATAATCTTCTGTTGTTGTTGTTTTTTAAATTTGGTTTAAATTAGACATTAAAGCATTTTTTAATTTCTTATTTTTTATGGTGGTAAAACTGCATAACAAAAATTTCCACCTTAACCATTTTTATATGTGCAGTTCAGAGGAGTGAAATACATTCACCTTGTTGTTCAGCAGTTTCCACAGCTTTTTCATCTTGCAAAACTGAAACTCGGTACCCATTAATCAACTCTGCTTCCTTTCCTCCCCCCAGCCCCTGGTAACCACCATTCTACTTTCTGTTTCTGTAATTCTGACCACTCTAGATACCTCATGTAAGTAGAATCAGACAATATTTGTGTTTTGTGTGACTGTCTTGTTTCACTTAGCAGAATTCCTCAAGTTTTTTCCATGTTTAACACATGTCAGCATTCCTTCCTTTTTAAGGCTGAATAGGCTTTCATTGTCTGTATATAGCACATTTTAAAAAAATATTCAGATTAAAATTTATTGTTCTTCTGAGTCAGGTATAGGAATTGTGAAAAGGTTAGGTGATATAGTTATTAAATCCTTACATACTTAATACTGTTTCTAATTTATTATGAGTTACTTCACAAAAATGTTAGTCACAGCTGGATTGAAAAAGTATTTGAGTAATACATAAAGTTTCCATAGGAGCAGGCATTTGTCATATACTTATGGAGAATTGTTGTAGGAGTTACAGTTTATGAGGTCCCCAGTTTGACTTAATGGGTTAAATAAGTCTCTGTTACTAGCTGCATTGTAATTTCCAAAAGTAATAATGCATGTAATTAGAAATAAAGTAACTTTTTAAAAAAACTTTTTGTTTTGTATTGGGATATAGATGATTGACAGTGTTGTTTAGATTTCACATATAAGGGATGTCATATAATGTTTTTCTTTCTCTCTCTGACTTGCTTCACTCAGTATGACACTGTCTAGGTACATCCATGTTGCTGCAAAAGGCATTATTTCATTCTTTTTAATGGCTGAGTAATATTCCACTGTATATATGTACCACATCTTCTTTAGTCATTCCAATAGAGAAGCTTTTTAAATCAAAGATCTTCTCAAAAACAAGTATTTGGGAAAGGTGGTGATGTTATTTATATAAGTACACACATTGTAAGTCTGATCCAAAGGGAATTTACCTTTGTGGAATTTGAAACAAAATAACTAGTGGCAAAGCCTATTGAGGTAGGGCCAGATCCATCCCTGAAACTTGGAAGCACATCCTTTTTTAGTTTGAAAGCAAGTACATCCATGTTTAAGTGGTGTGGGGCCCAGTTTTGGAAAAAACTCAGAATCATGGACATAGTTTAACTTTTTGGTGGAACGTTTTTCCTTAAACATCCTGGATTAGTTTCCAAAAGGTTCTTTTTTCCTCTTGAATGTTCATATCACACTCTATTTCTCCATTCATCTGTTGATGGACACTTAGGTTGCTTCCACCTCTTGGCTATTGTGAATAATTCTGTTGTGAACATGGTTATACAGATAAGTTTTTGAGACCTGGCTTTTAGTTATTTAAAAAATGTTTTGAGGAACTGTCATACTGTTTCCCATCGTGGCCCCACCATTTTCCATTCTCACTAGCAGTGTACACGAGTTCCAATTTCTTTATATCCTCATCAACACTTGCTACTTTATGGCTTTCGTTTTTGTTTTGATAGTAGCTATCTTAAGGGGTATGAGGTGGTATCTCATTGTGGTTTTGGTTTGCATTTCCCTAATGATTAGTGATGTTGAACATATTTTTATGAGCTTATTGACAGTTTTTTGAGAAATAGCTATTCAAGTCCTTTGCCCCTTTATTAATCAGGTTTGTTGTTGTTGAAATCAGGTTTGTTGTTGTTGAAAGGGCCTGTTTTTTAAGCCTTGGTCACCAAACAGCATTAAAAAAAAAAAAAAAAAAAAAAAAAAAAAAACGACCCACTGCAAAATGACCCACCCACACACAAAATGAGCCTCTGCTGCTGTGGCTCACACCTCCGATCCCTGTTCCCTGCTCCTTTGGGCAGCTGCTTTGAGGAAGGCTGACACTTGGCTTTGATAATAATTCCTCTTGCTCTCTCTGTTATCAGTGGTGATAGTGACAGGGTTAGTCGCTCAGTCGTGTCCAACTCTTTGTGACCCCATGGACTGTAGCCCACCAAGCTCCTCTGTCCATGGGATTCTCCAGGCAAAAATACTGGAGTGGGTTGCCTTTCCCTTCTCCAGGGCATCTTCCCAACCCAGGGATCGAACCCGGGTCTCCTGTCTGACAGGTGGATTCTTTACCATCTGAGCTGGTTTTCCTTTCCTCACTCTTTAAGGATAGGCACTGTTGTGTTGAGGTATTTCAGGAAGGGCCATTTACCCTTGACACCTGGTTGTGAATAAGCGGGCCCTGTGGTCTCTGAGGGTTTGACATTTGCATACACAGCTGGGAGGGCTGCCTGTTGTGGTCTTGACATCGAACTCCCCCACTGAGGTGTGGTGTCCACAGGCTGCTGTGCCTGAAGCTCAGAGCTTGAGTGGAGCCCAGGCTGAGGCTGAAACCTTTAGGATTGGCCCCAAATGGACCTCTCTTTAGGGATTCTGGTTACAGTAGCTTTTAGTACGTTTAAAGGTCTTCCCCTGGTAGCTCAGTGGTGAAGATTCCACCTGCCAAGAAAGAGACATGGGTTCGATCCCCGGGTCAGGAAGATCCTCTGGAGAAGGAAATGGCAACCTGCTCCAGTATTCTTGCCTGGAGGATTCCATGCATGGACAAAGGAGCCTGGCAGGCAACAGTCCACGGGATCCCAAAGTGTTGGACACGACTGAGCGACTGAACAACAAGTACATTAAAAGAAATTGATTGGCTCTCATCACATTAACTCATAGAAGATGCATCTGAAAATTAAGCGAGCTAGCTCTACAACAGCCCAACAGGTCCAACAGGTTTCTGCAGGGCCACCCCTGCTTTAGACCAGACATGCTGAAGGTCCAAAGTCCCGGCTGCACCTTGGGAGGAGCTGGAGCAGTGCCAGCCATTCTCTGGGGGAAGAAATATTTGGAGCCTGTGTTTGCTTTCTGCTTCTCTCCATCTGGCCCACAGGGGCATCCAGAGGCTATGCTTGAGCCAAGGCCCTGGGATCTATCCTGACCCTGACACAAGCCATGCTCCCTGGGTCTCATTTTTCTTCCTTTTTAGATTTAAAAAAAAAATCTGTTTGCACATCTTTGTAGAGTGAGTCATCTGGCTGCACATAATTCACATGCTGCTTCTGCAGGAGGGGGAGTGAGCGCTGGGCAGTGGGACCCGGCTGACACTCCTCCCTGCGGGGTGAAGGGTGGGTCTGGCCAGGAGAAGGGCTCTCCCGCCAACCTCTTCTCACGGCTGTGATATGCTGTGCCTGTGTCTGGTTCTAGATGCCGACAAGAGGATCAAGGTGGCGAAGCCAGTGGTGGAGATGGACGGCGATGAGATGACCCGTATTATCTGGCAGTTCATCAAGGAGAAGGTAGATCCGTCCCAAAGTGGGCAGCCGTGCACGTGGCCGGCCGGGCTCAGTGATCAGTCCCAGCTCCTGTCTCCTGAGCCCTGCTTCAGGTCCCCGGGGTTCACCCATCACCCTGGTGGGCAGGAGCACCCTGTTTGTCTCCTTCCGCCTACTCTTCTGTCATGTCCAGACCACTCATGGGCCTTGTTATTTTATTTGTTTTTTAAATATTTATTTATTTGGCTGCATTGGGTCTTAGTTGTGGCTCTCGGGCTCAGTTCCACAGCGTGTGGGATCTTATTTCCCAGNACTCTTCTGTCATGTCCAGACCACTCATGGGCCTTGTTATTTTATTTGTTTTTTAAATATTTATTTATTTGGCTGCATTGGGTCTTAGTTGTGGCTCTCGGGCTCAGTTCCACAGCGTGTGGGATCTTATTTCCCAGACCAGGGGTTGAACCCACATCCTCTGCATTGAAAGGCAGGTCCTCAACCACTGGATCATTGGGGGAGTCCCTGCTCTTATTATTTTTTAAAATACTTATTTATTTGGCCATGTCAGGTCCTCACTGTATCATGGAGGAATTTTTCGTTTCAGCCTATGGACTTTAGCTATGGTGCAGGCTCAATAGTTGTGGTGTGTGGACTTAGATCAGGGACGGTACTGTCCTCAGCCATCTGTGTCTTATACCAAGGTTAAAGCATTTTAAAGAATGTGATTAAACCTAATCACATATCATGTCTTTTTTTTTTTTTTGGCTGAATTAAGCTTTTGTTTTACTCTTCAGATTAATTAACACATATATGCAGATACAGGAAATACAAGAAACACCCTGGAGGAATTCGATCTGTGTTGCAGGGTGAATATTTATCTCCTTTCAGAGAGCTGGCACAGGTTGACTTAACCTTCAGGATTTTCTTCTTTGTTTTTAATTTATTTTTTATTGAAGTACAGTCGAGTATGTTGTCTTGATCCCCTGCATTCCGATGCACTCCCTTGAGGGAGTGAAAGACGAACAGGGATCATGAACCTTCCTTCCCTTAGCGGTCCAGGGATGTCATCGTGAGTCGTGGCGTGGTGTCTCTTGGGAACTGTGATGTGTTTGAACCATCACTGCAGGTGGTTCCCAGGGCGGCTGCTTGACTTCTCCAGAGTCTCAGTGGGCTGGGTCTGCCGGGGGAACACACGGTCCATGTGAAGACCCCCGCCTTGTGTGTCTGTCCCCAAGAACAAGGTTGAGAATGGCCACTTCTGAATGGGGAAGGAGGGGGAACCCACTATTGGGAGAACTCTGGATGTGTTTGGAGTGGGGTTTGGCTGAGTTGATGGGCCACCATGGGGGATCGGTGGTGTTTTATGTGGTCCACGCTGGGGAAGAGCCCTCCAAGGGGCTGCAGCCTGGTCTGCCAGCCTCTCTCCAGAGCCCCAGCCTCCTGCCAACTTTGGCCAGCCCTCTGAGGTCTTTCCTCTTCCCTTCCTGGATGGGGTGTCCCCACGTGCCTCTGAATCCTGTCACTCTGGGCTGATGCCTGGCCCCGGCCGTCTGTCTCTAGCTCATCCTGCCCCACGTGGACGTCCAGCTCAAGTATTTCGACCTGGGGCTCCCGAACCGTGACCAGACAAATGATCAGGTCACCATCGACTCCGCGTTGGCCACCCAGAAGTACAGTGTGGCTGTGAAGTGTGCCACCATCACCCCCGATGAGGCCCGTGTGGAAGGTGCGAGGGGGTGGAGGTGGGGTGGCTGGGGCGGTGGGGGTTGGGACAAGGAATTAGAGGGTCACCGTCTTAGTAATTTAGGCTGAACCTGGCGGGTGGGGCTGGAACCACAGCGTCTGGACCGAGGCTGTGTGTTGCCAGGTCCATCAGACTGAGCTCCGTCCCAGTGTGAAGTGGCAGTGATAACGGCTGACAGAGCACTTACCATGTGCCAGCCACTGTTCTGGGCACTTTACACATAACATGCATTTAAGTCTCACAACAACCCATAAGGCCAGGTGTTTTATCAACAGTGCCGTTTTATGGGCACTTGCTTGAGGTGGCACGGCTGGATCTTGAAGCTAAGAAATCTTATTCAGGAGTGCCCATGGCCACTCTTGACTCTGCAAGCCATCTTCTCATCTCTGCAGTACAAGGCCACAGACTTTGTGGTTGACCGGGCTGGCACATTCAAGGTGGTCTTCACCCCGAAGGATGGCAGCGGCCCCAAGGAATGGGAGGTGTACAACTTTCCCGCTGGTGGCGTGGGCATGGGCATGTACAACACGGATGAGGTGAGCAGTGGCTCCTGGGCTCCCTCCCCCGCCTGTGTCTCTGTCTCTAGCCACATCGGGTTGGTGGTTCTGACTCTTCCTGTGTTGGTGGCCTGAAGGTCTGAGGCCTGAGACCAAATGCAACTTTAAGTGTGTTTAGGGGGCCCTATGGCATGCCTAGCATCCTGTGCTCATTCTCGGGTGCGTCTTGGGGCATATTGGTTGTCAGCTCTTGGTTTACAGCAAACTGGGTAACCGCTTCTTTCCCTCCCTACCCCCATTTCTTGGCTTTCTTTTCCTCTGTGGTTGGCCTCATTCTTAGGCCATGAAGAAATGGCTAACACTGGCTCCGGGCTTATCCCTGTCAGCCTGGCTATCCTAGCAGAAAAGAGCCTTTTTGGCTCCTGGTTCCAGCAAAAGTAGATGGCCTGGGTCACGTGGCCCTCTCCCAGCCAATCATGAAGGCCCGGGACACAGAAGAGACGAGCAGGTGGGCTGAGGCCATGGCCCCACCCTAGCCATATGGTTTAAGAAATGGGGAAGGTGGTAGCTTTCCCAAGTAAAGCTGGATGTCTGCTTCCTCCCAGTAATTGGGAGTAGGGTGCTGGGCCAGCAGCAGCAGCAGATGCTCACTCCAGGAAAAGAAAAAGTGAAAGTGTTAGTCGCTCAGTCGTGTCTGACTCTCCATGTCTGTAGCCTTCCAGGCTCCTCTGTCCATGGAATCCTCACTGCAGAGGGGCTGGGTGAACCCTGACTGCGGGGAGGGGAATGCGGTTCCTAAGGCTGGGCCTGCCCTGGGGGACCACTCCAGGGACCTCTCTCTCTCTGCAGTCCATCTCAGGTTTTGCACACAGCTGCTTCCAGTATGCCATCCAGAAGAAGTGGCCGCTCTACATGAGCACGAAGAACACCATCCTAAAAGCCTACGATGGGCGCTTCAAGGACATCTTTCAGGCCATCTTTGAGAAGTAATGGCTTCTCCCTTTACTGTTTCCCAGGGAGTCCATGACCCTCCTTCCTGGTCCCCTCAGCCCTTACCCACCCGGGGAGGCTGTCCCAGTCTGTCTGTCTTGGCCCTGAGGCTCACGGAGGGATTCCCCAACCTGTCAGCCTCCTGCCCTCTTCTCACCACAAGCCCCTTTGCTCCCAGGCACTACAAGACTGAGTTCGACAAACATAAGATCTGGTATGAGCACCGGCTCATTGATGACATGGTGGCTCAGGTCCTCAAGTCTTCGGGCGGCTTTGTGTGGGCCTGCAAGAACTATGACGGAGACGTGCAGTCGGACATCCTGGCCCAGGGTACGCTTCCCGCGGGGATGGGGGGTGAACCATCGGTTTTTCCTTGCTGGGAGAGAGGGTGGGCCGGGAGTGGGGGCACTGGTTCGCACATCCTTTTGGGAGGAAACTGCTCCAGTGGAGCAGCAGGACTGGGGCTTGCCTGCTCATCACAGGATCTGCTGTAGCCGCATGGACCAGGGGCTTTCTGGTGTCTGACTGAGGAAGGGTCATCTGTTACGTTTGGACTGGGGTATCGCTAAGGCTGCCGTTCCAGAGGAAGTAGTACCCAGCAATTTACATCCTAAAGGCCAAGCTTGTCAGCCCTGAGGTTGTTCCCATCCATGAAAGGACCTATCCGTGCAGGAGATGTTCCTGTCCATGCAGGAGACTCAAGAGACACGGGTTCAATCCCTGGGTTGGGAAGATCCCCTGGAGGAGGGCATGGCAGCCCACTCCAGTATTCTTGCCTGGAGAATCCCATGGAGAGAGGAGCCTGGTGGGCTACAGTCCATGGGGTCACAAGGAGTCAGACACAGCTGAAGTGACTTAGCACAGCACAGCACATGGAAGGGCCAGGTGACTCTGCTTGGCTCCAGATTTGGATGAGATTTGGCTCTAGTAGGAAAACGGGAGTAAGTATTCAGTTGACCGAAAAGTTTGTTCAGGTTTTTCTGTAGCATCTTTGGCCAAGTTTTTAGCCAACCCAGTACAACCAGATGCTGTTTAAATTGCAAAGAATTTGTTTTGCACAGTAAACCTTTCGGATATAGGAGAATATTGGGGGATGATGGCAGACCCCCCAGCCCTAAAGCATTCTAAAAGACAAGCTGAGTTGCAGCAGAAAGCCTGGGTGAAGCCGTTAGGGAGGAACAGAATGAAATAACCCAGTTGTAATGGGAACGAGGGGCTTCCCAGGTCATTCAGTGGTAAAGAATCTGCCTGCCAATGCAGGAGATGAGGGTTCGATCCCTGGTCTAAGAAGATCCTCTGGAGAAGGAAATGACAACTCACTTCAGTATTCTTGCCTGAGAATCCCATGGACAGAGGAGCTTGGTGGGCTACAGTTCATGGAGTCACAAACAGATACGACTGACCACGCACACATGCATTCATCTTATTGGGACTGAGAGCAAGAAAGATAGTGGGAAGAGGCAACATGTGTGCACAGGGAGTGGAAGAGAAACCAGGCTGTGTGAGAGAGAGGGGTGAGGTCTGGCTCCCATAAGGAAAAAGTGAAGCCCACATCAGGCTGCAGTGAAAAGGCAGAGGGTACCCATGCTTCATAAAAACCTTTGTTTTATTTTGAAAGGTTCAGTGTGATCCTCTCACTGGAACAATTTCTATCTAGGATGGAAGGATGACAAGCCCTAGCACACAAGAGAAAGGCATGAAGTGTGTAAGAACTAGTGAGTGTGAAGGTCCCAGGTGAAATTGGAGAAGGGATCCCCCTTTCTCTACCCCAACAGCAAAAATTGTTGGGCAAATAATTTCCCTCTAGAAGTTGCCCACTTTTTCTTTCTTGGGCATTTGCAGTTCTTATTATGGTGCTGTGGGTTGCTTTTGAAGCGCAGGAGATCTTGGCCATAGTAAACGTTGACATCTGGATTTGAAAAAATTTGGAAGTAGATCACAAAGCTTTTTTAAAATTTTAAAATATTTGTTGTTTATTTGACTGTGCCAGGTCTTTGTTGTGGCATATGGGATCTTTGATCTTTGTTGCTGCCCTTTGGGATCTTTACTTTCGTCTTGTGGGATCTAGGTCTCTGACCGGGGATCGAAGCTATGCCCCCTGCATTGTGAGTGATGAGTTTTATCCACTGGACCACCAGAAAAGTCCCAAATTGTAAAACTTTCAGGTGGCCTAAAAGAGCAGAGAGCTTCCTGGGTGGCTCAAACAGTAAAGAACCTCCTGCAACTTGGAAGACCTCGGTTTGATCCCTGGGTTGGCAAGATCCCCTGGAGGAGGGCATGGCAACCCATTCCAGTATTCTTGCCTGGAGAATTCCATGGACAGAGGAGCCTGGCGGGCTATACAGCCTATGGGGTTGCGAAGAGTCGGACATGACTGAGCAACTAACACCCACATACTCAAAAGGGCAGATAAAGTGATGACTGTAAAATAGCTGGCCACAGGCTTTATTCTTCCTGCTTGAATGAGCCTCTTGGTCACCTGCCAGGGTGGGTGGGTAGAATTTTGGCGCGGGGGATGGGTCTTGTGCCCTTGCGGGGGGGGGGGCATAGATTCTGGGGCACCTGGAGGTAGGGGATGTAGATGTATGCCAGCAGGCAGATGAGAACCACCTCTGAGTGCCACTTGCCCTGTGCTGGGTCCTGGAGACCCAGCACCAGTGCCTGAGGAGTGGTGCTGGCACTCAGGGGAGGTCATCCTGCTCTCCAGGCTTTGGCTCCCTTGGTCTGATGACATCTGTGCTGGTCTGCCCGGATGGGAAGACCATTGAGGCTGAGGCTGCTCATGGCACAGTCACCCGCCACTATCGGGAGCACCAGAAGGTGAGTGCCAGGGCAGTGGCCGCGTGCCCGTCCATCCCTGGAGCTTGAGCCCGCTGGCCCTGAGGGCGGGGAGCATGGGCCTGGTCCTGTCAGTCTAGAGGGGGGCAGCTGTGTCCAGGGGGCCTTTTCATTGGCTGCTTGGCTCTTCATCGCCCTGTGACCTCTTCCCCTAGGGCCGGCCAACTAGCACCAACCCCATCGCCAGCATCTTTGCTTGGACACGTGGCCTGGAACACCGGGGCAAGTTGGACGGGAACCAGGACCTCATCAGGTGAGTTGGTCCTGGGTAGGTTCTGGGCCCCGGCTCCACACAGCTGGGGTCTCACTCTGCCCTGTGCCCTGCAGGTTCGCCCAGACCCTGGAGAAGGTGTGTGTCGAGACGGTGGAGAGTGGAGCCATGACCAAGGACCTGGCAGGCTGCATCCACGGCCTCAGCAAGTGAGTGGCCTGGGGTCTAGGCAGGGCTGGGCTTCCGGGGGCTCAGGGTCGGGTGGAACGTAGCCCAGGGTCCCTTGTAGAGGCTTCTTCCTAAGTCAGCTTGGCTGCCAGGGGACAGGACAGGTCCATGGCCCTGAGTGATGGCTGGGACTAGCCTCCCCACACCAGGCCCAGTGAATGGGTCCCTATCCCTAGGCCAGCTGCTCAGAACCTTCCAATCCCTGCCGCAACCATCTCCCGGCTTCTCTCAGAAGAGCTTGTACTGAGCTGCCTGTTGTAACTGGAAAAGCAAAACCAGGCCTCGCTGGGTTCCTGCTGAGTTTGCTGTGGCCCCCTCACCCCCCCTTTTTTTTGCCCACACCATGCTGCATGTAGGATCTTAGCTCCCCGACCAGGGATCGAACCTGCACCCCCTGCAGTGGAAGTGCAGATTCTTAACCACTGCACAACCAGGGAAGCCCCGTTGTGGCCTCTTGACAGAGGGCTCCAGGTAGTAGCCTCTGGCCTGTAGCCCTCCCCACAACTGCACGAGAGGCCTACTGTCTGGATGCTGCCCTGGATGGGGCGGGGTGAGGCGGGGCCTGTCAGAACCACCCTTACATGCACGTGCTCTCTCGACAGTGTGAAGCTGAACGAGCACTTCCTGAACACCTCGGACTTCCTGGACACCATCAAGAGCAACCTGGACAAAGCTCTGGGCCAGCAGTAGCGGGCCAGGGATGCTGCCAGCTGCCGAGCTGGCCGGGCCGGAGGCGAGCGGGCAGCCAGGGGTCCCCCTGCCCCCCCGACTGACACGCCCTGCGGCGGAGGGTGAGCCTCTTAGCCCCTGTTAGGAGGCCTTTCTAGGGGACTTTCTTTTTTATAAGCAAGAAGTTTTTAAAAGTATCTGTGTGTTTCCCCTCATGGTGACATGAGGCAGGAACAGTGTGTTTTACCTCAGCCAGTGGTATGTTTTGCATACTGTAATTTATATTGCCCTCGGAACACATGGTGCCATATTTAGCTACTAAAAAGTTCTTCACGAAACAGGTCTGCTGTGTTTGTCCCTGAGGGGAAGGAGGCAGCCAGGGCTTAAGAGGCAGAGGCCTTCAAAGGGCTGGTGGATTCCAGCAGGGGCGGTGTGGGACGCCAGGCTGCTGCAGGCCTCTGTTCAGGCAAGGGGCCAGGTTTGGGGGTGGGGGTGATCGGGCAGCAGGTCTTGGGGTCGGGGTGGGGTCACTGGAATTTCCCAGCACGTTCTGGTTTCTATATCCTCTTCTCCTTTTTGAGAGTAATCACTTCCCAGTTGATTCCGGTTATACTTTTTTGTGTTCTGTTGTTGTTGTTATTGTTGGTTTTAACCTTCTAAACATCTCCAGACCTCTTGATTTGCCTGTGTCTCAGTCCTCAAAACAGGTCCCACAGAGTAACCTCAGTTCTCTTGCCCACGGCTGCTTAGAGCTTGAGCCTGGGAGTGTGCCTGGGGCCCCCGTGTGGTTGGTCCAGGCCACTGAGTCCCAGACTGGGCTCCTCTTCACTATTCTTTGGCAAAACTAGAACAGTAAGATTATAGAGTTGTTAGACATGCTAGTGGTAAAGAACCTGCCTGCCAATGCAGAAGATGTAAGAGATGTGGTTCCATCCCTGGGTCAGGAAGATCCCCTGAAGAAGGGCATGGCAACCCACTTCAGTATTCTCGCCTGGAAAATCCCATGGACAGAGGAGCCTGGTGGATTACAGTTCATAGGGTCACAGAGAGTCAGGCTGAAGAGACTTGGCAAGCAAGCAAGCAATACAGCTAAACAGATCCAGTTTAAAGGGCTGTGCTTTATGCGGGGATTATTATTCTACTTTTGGTGTTGAACGTCCTGGGGAAGAGTTGTGACATTTTGTTTTGCTGTCCTGTGTGGCTTATGGGGTCTTAGTTCCTGACCAGGATGGTACCCAGGCCCTTTACTGTTCAAGGGCAGTCTTGTGCTCAGTTGTGTCCGACTCTCTGTGACCCCATGGACTGTAGCCTGCCAGGTTCCTCATCCATGGGATTTCCCAGGAAAGAATGTTGGGAGTGGGTTGCCACTTCCTCCTCCTGACCCAGGGATCAAACCGGCGTCTCCTGTATCGGCAGGTGGATTCTTCACTACTACACCACCTGGGAAGCCCATACCTGGTCTCAGGTCTTGACTTGAAAAAAATAAACACTTGGCAACCTGAAGTCCGGTTCCCAAATTCGGGCAGGCTCTTGTAGGCTCCTGAAACCCGATACCTGGAAGCTTTGAGATGGGCTTCTAGGCGCCCACCTCCATGGAGGTGTTTTAAGCCCATTCTTTCCCAATCATCACTGGACTCCAGGGCTGGAGGAGGAAAGGCTGGCATGCTGGCTGTGCCCGGACCAGCTCCTGGGGGAAGTTCAAGGTTTCTGACCCTTCTTCCCCATCAGCGAACAGCCAAGGGCTGGCAGCTCCCCAGAAGACACAGCCTCTGAAGCCCAGTCTGGCACCAGGAGCTGGCTTCTGTCCTAGAGGCCTGTTGGTGGGAAAGCGGCTTTTCTCTACAAGTGGTAGGAGTTCTGGGGTCTTGGCCGGCACCCCGTTCTCATGGGCTCAGAGCCCTGCAGGTAGCCATTCTAGTGGGAAGGACGGTCAGGTGCTCCTCTGGGCCCCCTGGAGAGTGAAGTACTTGTTGGGGGTTCCTTCCGGGGAAGGGGTGAGGATCAGGTACCCCCAGAACCATGGAAAGAAGCACTCGCAGTCACCTCACTAAAGAATATTCATTTATTTATAATTATTGCTAAGTAAACTTCTCTTTGAAACAGGAACATAAAAACACAGTAGGGCTTTGCACGAGTGGAATTTCTAAAACAGTTGGTTCGTATACATGTCAAAATAAGTTAGAATGGAGTTCGTCCAGGAGTTTCCAAGTCACGGGAGAGGCCTCGCGAGCCTCCTCTGAACAGGTGGGGGCGGGGCGGGGCGGGGCGAGGGCAGGAGCCTTGCTGAGACCACCGCCCTCGCCCCCCAGCTCAGATTGAGAGTTGTGCTGCTACTTCCTTCTCTCAGCCTTGCCCAGGTCCAAGGCACAGGGCAAGGGTGGGGGGGTTCTTCAAGTACGGAACCTCTTGGAGGGTTGGTGCTGATGGCGGGGCTGGGGGAAGACAGGCTTGCACCAGCCTTGGGGCTGGACCTTCTGTGGGCTTCCAAGACCAAGGCCACCGGGTGGCTGGAAAGAGGAGGCGGAGGAGATACAGGGTTTTTGTTTTTTGGTACCTGGGGTGGGGGGAGAAGACGTGGTGGGAAGAGGTAGTTTGCAGGGGACAACGCTTCTGCTCAGCAGGAGAAAATGTCATCTACAGTGACGGGGTCACTGCCACCTGAGGGTCGTCATGGCGGGCACCTGGGAGGCTGGGGGCCTCGGGGTCACCACACTTGGGGTGAGGACCCCCAGTCCTCTCATTTGCTGCTCAGCATGAACTCTAGTGGAGAAGGAAGGGGCACCTGGCTGCCTGATCCTGAGGCTTGTGTCCTCCCCTCCCCCCAATCCTGATCTCAGCCACCCTGAGGCCTGGCTTGTGTGTGTGTGTGTGTGTTTGTGTGTGTGTCACTCAGTTGTGTACGACTCTTTGCCACCCTATGGACTGTAGCCCGCCTGGCTCCTCTGTGCATGGGGATTCTCCAGGCAAGGAGACTGGAGTGGGTTGCCATTGGTCCTTCAGGAAGGACACAGCTCTGGGGGCACCTCCTCCCAGCTGTTCCCCGGGGCCCGTGGCCTCACCTCCTGTGCCTTTGCGGATGGCTCTGCCTGCCCCCACTCCCACCCCATCACAGAGGCCTCAGGGGGTGAGTGGGTGGGAGTCTGGGTGCCCTGGCATTCCTCAATGTGCTCTTTTACCGCCCCGGGGACCCTGCAGTCTTTTTCAGCTCCGCGGCAGGAGCTGGGGACAGAGGGGCTGAGAGCGGGCAGGCGATGGGAGCTCTGGCCACTGCTCTGAGCGGAACTGAGCGAGTCACTGGCCGGAGCAGCCAGGCAGGGGTGGAGGACCTGCCAGACTCTGCCTTCTCCTGCCTCTCGCCCTCGCCTCCTGAGGCTTCCTGCCCACAGCTGCACAACAGTTTGTTGGAATCCACTTTCAGGACACCCACTTCCAAACAGGGCTGTGAGATGGGGGCTTTCTGGAGAGGATGGTAGCCAGGGTTGGGGCTGCACCCTGCTTTCCTAGGGGCCGCATGCATGCCTGGCTGGCAGAGAGCGTGGGGGGCACCAGGAGGTAGAAGGCAGAGGGCCCTGCCTGGCTGTCTGTGGACTGGGTGGGGAAGGGGGCTCTGGGCCTGGGCTTTTCCCAGTCCACAGGCTGATGGGAGGGGGTGAGGGTGGGGAGCAGGGCTGACCAACCAGCACAACAGCTCAACCATCCCTAGAGGCAGGAGGTGGTCCAGAGGAGAAACACAACATGGCTCAAGAGATCTCTTCCTCCAGTGACAGGGCCCCTGAGGAGCCATCAGAACGGCCTCCCCAACACTGGCCGCCCCAGCTCTGCTGGGCCCGGAGAGACAGAACCTCTGCCCTAGTGGCCTGTCCCCAAACGGCCCCTATCCGCATTTCTCCCGCAGCAGCAGGCCAAGGAGACGGGGACCTGGGCCTCCCGGGTCATCCTTCCTTCCCCACCATGTCTGGGGCCTGCGCCGGGTTCACAGCTGAGGCCAGCACTACAGTCTCCATTTGGTCCCCACGTCCCTAGTGGTGCAAACGACCAAGTGTGAGGGCAGGGCTCAGGACAGTGGGGAGGCAGCTCACTTCTCAGCTGCAGGGAGGCAGCCCGCACGCCCCACGCCCTACTTGCCCCGTTCCGGGCGGCCCGGCCTGTGCTATAGCACGTTGTAGTAGGCCATCTCTTTCATGGCCTGTTCGGTGAGGACGCTGGCCTCAGCGCTGCCATCCACACCCGTGTAGGCGTAGGCATTCTCCTCGAAGTCCTCCATTTCCTGCTGGCTGTCGAGCTCAGAGGGGTCCGTGCCCGTCAGCTCCATCATGGGGTCTGCAAGAGAGGGCACAGTCAAGCTTGGCTGCTGCCTGTGGGAAGGGCCGGTCACTCCCACCCAGGAAGCAGAACTAAAGGAGTGGTTCCTAGTCACAGCTTGCAGAAGACTCAGTGGTTTCCTCCACTGCCCTGCTCCGGGGGGACCTGACTCCTGTGGCTTCTCAAATGTGTGCCGAGAGATCAGGCCTGGATTTGAACTCTGGGGAGGTCTCTTGCACTGCCTAAGTCACGAAAGTGAAAGTTGCTCAGTTTTCTCTGACTTTTTGCCACCCCATGGACTGTAGCCTGCCAGGTTCCTCTGTCCATGGAATTCTCCAGTCAAGAATACTGGAGGGGGTAGCCGTTCTCTTCTCCAGGGGATCTTCCCAACCGAGGGATCAAACCCAGGTCTTCCGCTTTGCAGGCAGATTCTTTGTCATCTGAGCCACCAGGGAAGCCCCCTAAGTCACTAAAACCTTATTTATTCTTTGCAACATGACTCATTAATCCCCTTTCCCATATGAAAGATTCCTGTGCTGTATCATGTTGGCCACACCACTTATTTGGCACCTACTGTATGCCAGGCACTTCACATGTATCATCTCCTGAATGCTCACAGTGACCCCATTTAGGACAGCAAAAGCAAGTTCAGAGAGGTTAATCAACTTGCCCAGGAAAACCCAGCAAGTGCTGTTGTTTTGATCTACTTCTGACTACCTCAAAGGGCTGTTTCTCCTGGTGCCAGCTGTATCCTCTGGCCCTGCTCTCCAAGGCCAAACACTCAAGGTGGGTAAACAAAGGTGATGAGATAAAAACTCTTTTAAGAGGCCTCCTGTCATTTTATCAAATTGAAATCTTTTATAAAGCCCTTACTATTGGAACAAAACCAGACAGAAAACTCCACAGAGGTGGAAGCCTGGGTGGGGCTGCCTTCTGATGAGTTTTGGAGGGAGGGAGGCCCTGAGGACACTGGGAGGCTTGCTGGCAGGGACTGGCTTGAGTCCCAGTGTGCATTCTGCCCCTAGGAGATGCGATTGTGTTTGGGAAGAAATAGAACCCAGCCCAGGGGTAGCCTTGATGAGTCTAAGGCATGGTTTTTCAACCTTGGCATTATTAACACCTTGGGCCATGATTAAACTTTGTTTTGGGGGATTGGCTTGTGCATTGTAGGATGTTTCACAGCATCTGTGGCCTCTGTCAGCTAGATACCAATAACATCACCCCAGCTGTGATACCCAACTGTCTCTTGTGTGTTAGTTGCTCAGTCGTGCCTGACTCTGCGACCCCACGGACTGCGGCCCGTCAGGCTCCTCTGTCCATAGGATTCTCCAGGCAAGAATACTGGAATAAGTTTCCTCCTTCAGGCAATCTTCCTGACCCAGGGATCGAACCTGAGTCTCCTGCATTGCAGGCAGATTCTTGACCATCTGAGCCACTAGGGAAGCCCCAAATGTCTCTTAGACATGGTCAAATAAACGTCCCCCATTGAGAACCACTGACTGAACGGTAATCCCACTCTTTGCCAATGAGTGGCTCAGGATGAGGAATGGGACCCAATTCTGGCCAATGAATCATGAGGAAAGGCCTACTAGTGAGTTCTGAGAATGTTCTCATTGGTTTCATAGAGCAAAGGACAGCAGGCTCTTGCTCTTCCAATGGAGGTGAACAAGGAAGCATATTGCCCTAAAGACCACTGGCAGCTACTTTGGGACCATGAGGAAAATCACAGCCAATGCTGTGGACAGAGGGAGTCTCACCTTGTCATTGCTGAGGGGCTGAATCAGTCAACTTTGCAGATAACCTGGACAGCAAGTCATTTCTTAATTTATTTCCTTATTGTTTAAGGTGGTCTGAATAGGGTGTCTGTTACTTGGGTCCATGGCATTTGACACGAGGTCAACTGCACCACATCTTACAGACCCTAGACCGTTTCTTCCTCAAATCCTAGTGCCACACTTTCCTATCATATAGCTGATTAAAAATAAGCTACATAAAGGCTGAAGAATTGATGCTTTCAAGCTGTAGTGCTGGAGAAGACTCCTGAGAGTCCCTTGGACTTCAGGGAGATGAAACCAGTCAATCCTAAAGGAAATAAACCCTGAATATTCATTGGAAGGACTGGTGCTGAAGCTGAAACTCTGATACTTTGGCCACCTGATGCAAAGAGCCGTGATGCTGGGAAAGATTGAGGGCAGGAGAAGAGGGGGACAGAGGATGAGATGGTTGGATAGCATTATCGACTCAGTGGACATGAATTTGAGCAAACTCCAGGAGATAGTGGAGGGCAGGGAAGCCTGGTGTGTGGCAGTCCATGGGGTCGCAAAGAGTTGGACACAAGTTAGCAACTCAACAACAACAACAAAATAAAGACCCAGGAAAATTTTCTATCTTTGAGTCTCTTGTTACCCTACCAACTTCTTTGATTAACTCTATTTGGCAGTTCCAGTTGGCCCCAGGGAACCATGTGTACTATTTTTATTTTTTTTGCAAAAACATTAATCTACCTCTTAAATTACAGTCCTATAGTTTATTGGATAGCTCTATCTAGAATGTATGCTACCTTCCTCCTGCACAGGATCAAGCCTAAGCTTCTCAGACCAAGGTTATATATGAGTGACTTGGGCCCCAGTCATTCCCATGCCAATCCCTGCTTTACTGTCTGTCATCTGGTACAATCAGGAAGAAAGCCACCATAGGCAACCTTGGTTGCTGACCTCAGATAGAAAGAGCTTATGCCTTAGCCACACCCTGGGAGGGAGGTTTGTAGGGACAGCTACTTTCAAAGGACCAGTCCTCTGTCCTTCCTGGAGGGTTTGCTTCCTAGCAGATGCACTAGAGTACTGGCTCTCAGACTCTACTGTGCATAGAATTACCTAAGGTGCTTAAAAAAAAAATCCAGATCTTGGGCCACACGCCAGATCAATTACATTCAAATCTCTGTGGCTGAGACTCAGGCATCAGCACTTTAAAACTTCTCTAAGTGATTCCAATGTGTAGCCAAGTTTAAGAACGGTTCTCTAGAGCTTAGATCAGAGGTTCCCAATGTGAGTTTCTTGACTGGCAGCTTCCCTTTGACCTGGGAACTTGGAAATGCAAATGATCTGACCCCACTCCAGACCTACAGAATGAGAAGCTCTGGGGGGTGAGACTCAGCACTTTAACAAGCCTCCAGTGATTCTCATGCTCCCTGGCTCAAATTTGAAAACCATCACTTCATTCAATGCTTCTCAAGTTTTCCAGTGCAAACAAATCACCGAGGGATCTTTCTGAAATGCAGATCCTAATTCAGCAAGTCTGGGGTGGAGGTGAGTCTGCAGTTCTAGAAGATCCCAGGTGATGCCAACACTGCTGGTCCTAGAACCACATACTAAGAAAGAAGCTGCAACAGAGCATCTATATGCAGCCAACAGCATTTCATCCTCACCCAGGGAGAACTGAAAACTGAGGACACTTGTTTCTACCAGAAAACCCCAGGCCACTCACTGTTCCAAAGCTAAATCAGGGTTATTTCCACCACACCCCAGCATCTGATTGGCTCCTTGTGAGTAACCTCACACAGCAAGTCAGCCCACCCAGTGATTGTCGACACACATTCCTAGCTATGCGTCTTGGAAGGAACTCCAGAAAATCAAATAGCTCCAGACTATACAAGGAACCTTCTGAAAGTGTGGCTGTCTACTCCTTCCTGTAGAATCTCTAAAGTGTCTCCTCCCCATGAGGCCAGAAAGAATAAGGTGCTTCCACTATTGACCAGTATTAAGTGGAGAGGTCATCACTAACACGTGGGGATGTTATAACCCACAACCAATGAAACCTCCGCCAACTGCAGAGGTGAGCAAAAGTCTCCTGAGTATGTGGGCTGCATTCCTTCCGCCAGGCACTAGGAAGAGTGTGACTGACTGTATTACCCTTTTTGCCTTGGCCACTGGGAAGCTCAGGGCTCCCCTCTGCATGCCCATAGAACCTCCCACTTGTACTTGGGGTTGTGACCTCACCTGGCTCTCCCTTATCTTTCAGTTGGCATTTTCCCTTTTGTTACTTTCCTTCCCATCCATTTTTAAACTCATTATCGACTAGGGGATTTTTGCAGAAACTAATGCCTTTGACCAGTGATTTTTATTTTGGCCAAATATTAATTCTGTTATTTCACGAACACTTTGCAGATTATTACATTCAATAGTTATACCTGACACACCTATAAAGTCTTCTCCAGCACCATGAGTTTCATTTTCACTTTGAGTATCCAAATCAAACACTAAGGGTTTTTTTTTGGTCTTTTTGTTGGTCTAATACATCATCTGAATCAGAACTATATTCTGAAGAACTATCATCTTCTGAGACACTAGTATGTATGTTGCTTAGACAATCAGGAAGTAACTGCATAAAATCCATTGAAAAATTCTTGTTTTACTCAAAATTTCATAATGCGTCATTTTTGAAATTTTATGGTAATAAACTTGTGTTTATAATATACACAAGGTTGGAACAAAAGTCTAACAGAGCAAATGTGAGTGACGACAATTGTAAATTGTATAATGAACTCTTGATCAATTTTAAGCTCTAATAACTTTGCACGGTGATGTTAATTGTATTACTCTCTAAAAACATATTGATGTCTCCAGTCAATAACGTCTGGGTAATAAAAGACATATTCACACATCTCCGGTCAAATAATGTGTTAAAAATGCCCTGTCTCAGTGATGATCTTGCATGAGTTCTCTAACTTCTCTATCCTTCAATGCCTGCATCTGTACAATGGTGATAATTACAGAGCCAACCCCGCAGTGAGGGTCACATGAGTTAATAAAGGCTTGGCACACAGCACTCAACAAATATTCTTTTTATTATTGTTTATGTGAGCCCACGTAAGTCCTTTGGAGAATACATAAATGTCGCATCGTTATCACGCTGATGGCCCTCCGGGGAGCCCCCTCTCCAGACCTGAGCCCACCCCAGTGAGGTCTCGGGCCTGGCCAGCCTCCCCGCTCCCCTCACTGGACAAGAGGCTCCTGAGTGCGCCATGACAGGACCGCTCCTGCTCCGTCCACGGCGTGTGGCCCACCCACCTTGGCTGTCCAGGCCGATGTCCATGACGCCGTGCTTCACCTTCATGTGCCGGCTCAGGTTGCCCTTGAGGTTGAACTTGCTGGAGCAGTATGGGCACTTGAAGGGTTTGCTACCCGCGTGAAGGTGCATGTGGCCCAGCAGGTTGTACATGCGGTTGAAGGACTTCCCGCACACCTGGAACACACCCCGCCCCAGCCCGGCATCGTCAGCCTGGGGGCTCGTCCTCCCCCAGCCCCCAGCCGCTTCCGCCTCCACGGCTGGGCCCGAACCGCATCCCCTTTGCCCTTTCCTATGTGACCCCAGAGGCCGAGGACTGGGCCCCTGCTCGCAGGTCACCGTTCCTGCGGGTCTGCCCCACACTCCCCGGGCCAAGGCTGAGACCCAGGGCTGGGAGCTCCAACAGCACTGAGTCTCTGGCCTGGGCTCCTTCCCTGAGGCTGCACTGCGACCTTCACCCCCGCCCCCAACTCTCAAAAGGCAACTAAGGGGAATTCCCTGGAGGTCCAGTGGTTAGGATTCTGCACTTTCACTGCCAAGGGCCTGGGTTCCATCCCTGGCTGGGGAACTAAGATCCCACAAGCCTCAGTGCGGCCAAAGAAAAGTAGCCAGTTCAGTAGCTAGTAGGACCTCAACCCTCACCACCCACCCGCCACCCCCCAGAACCCAGCAATTTCAGCCAATGGGGGGTGGGGTAGGGTGGGGTGGGGGACCTTTGCCCAGCCTGGGTCCTGCCTCCTGTGATCACATGCCAGGGCCACTTGTGAGCAAGTCCTGCCCCGGGGCCCAAGAGTCCGGTACCTTGCATTTGAACGGCTTCACGGGCGAGTGGACAATCATGTGGGTCTTGAGGGTCTGCTTCTGCACGAAGGTCTTGAAACAGATGTGACACTGGTAGGGCCGGACGCTGGTGTGGATCAGCATGTGCCGCTTCATGTTCGCCTGCAGGGTGAACTCCCGGCCGCACACCTCGCACTTGAACTCCTTCACGCCCTGTGGGGGGGAGGGGGGTGGGCGGGAGGCATGGTCAGGACCACACGATGGACGCAGCTTCTGGGAGTGTGTTCGTGCGGACCCGAGCATCAGGGCTTCTGGGAAATGACTTCCTGCTGTTTGCTGTTTCTTGGCCTCTTAGTCGTATCCGACTCTCTGCGACCCCATGGTCCCAGGGTCTATTTCTCGGCAGACACTGTCTCCTGTGTGTGCCGGCTTGACACAGTGAAGGTGACGTGTGTGACCACCAGGGGGCCCTGCCCTTGGGGAGCTGACTTCGTGCATGATGTGTGCACTGCATACACTGAGGCTGATCACGGGAATGTTTTCAATTTTATCAGCCTTTGATTTTTGCTTTCCCCTTTTCTTCACAGTATTATTTATTTCTTTTTTTAACACTTTGTGGACTTGTGGGGATTTTTAAGTCTACAAAGAGAGGAGAAAGATGGCAAGCAGACAGCACGTGTACTTATTGCTCTTTATAAATAATCAATCATCTGGTTTTAGGGCTGAGGCAAGCTTCAGCTCCAGAATCCTTCTTAACATTATAGTCTAGGTAGCTACACCAGTTGAATGGAGGAGCACCTGCAATGAAATCTGCAGTCATCTCTGTTGCAGCAGAAAAAGTTCCCAAGGGGACTTCCCTGGTAGTCCGGTGACTAAGACTCAGCACTCCCAATGCAGGGGATCGTGGTTTGATCCCTGGCCATGGAACTAGATCTTATATGCCATAACTAAGACCCAGTGCAGCCAAATAAATTAAAAAATATATATATTAAAAAAAAAAAGTTCCCAGGGGTGGGACAGGCTGGACTCTTGCCTTGGCAGGGTATTTCTCCCCTACTCACTGCAATGTCCACTGTGAGAGACAAGGACATGAGTTCAACCTGGAGCGTCTCTAAGGCCACAGCTATGGAGAGTGATAGCTCTATGCACATGCGTGCTCAATTGGTCAGTCATGTCCGACTCTTTGTGACCCCATGTACTGTAGCCTGCCAGGCTCCTCTGTCCATAGGATTTTCCAGGCAAGAATACTGGAGTGGGCTGCCATGCCCTCCTCCAGGGGATCTTCCTGACTCAGGGATCGAATCGGAGTTGCTTATGTCTCCTGCATTGTAGGTGGGTTCTTTACCACTAGCGCCACCTGGGAAGCCCCAGCTCCATGCACACTCAGCTTCAAAGTGTGAAGCTGGTTGGATTTGGGTGGAAACCTCAGGACAGGCCAAGTGCCAGAGTGGGATGGTGGGACCTTAGAGGCCTCATTCCAGCCTGTCTGGATGTAAAGGCCCCTCAAAGGAGGTGACGTTGGCTGAAAGTCAGGGTGGCTAGTACCCTCCAGGGAGGGAGGAAGGTAGGGGAGAACTGGTCAAGGCGATGTCTAGCTACACAGTGGACAAGGACAGTGTTGCTCTACCATCTGTCTCCACAGGCCACTTTGCCTCATTTCATAATATCTAGAACCAATTGTACTTCTCCATAACAAATATTTTTCTTTACATTAATTCCCTTTTTAAAGCTTTTTTTTTTTTTTAAATATTTATTTGGCTGCATCGGGTCCATGAAGTAGCACATGGGCTCCAGAGCACACAGGCTCAGTAGTGGTGGCCTGTGGGCTTAGTTGCCCTTTGGCATGTGGGATCTTAATTCCCCAACCAGGGATCAAACCTGTGTCCCCTGCATTGGAAAGTGGATTCTTAACCACCAGGGAAGTCCCTCACTCCCTTCTACAATGAAATATATTTAGTATTTGCTTAAAAGAGAGTCACATGCTTTTGATAGACTCGAGTAATTACAAGAGGCAAGGGGAGCCCTTTGTGTTCTTGAGCATCTATCTCATCTACTTCCCCACGGCATCCTGGCCTCTCTCTGGCCTCGGTCCTCCCAGCTGTGAGATGGAAAATCAGCGATTCTCCAACTGTGCTCCTTGGGTCCTGCAGGGATTCTTCAAACACTTCAGTTCAAATGTTTTAAAATGAATAAAGTTTTACTATTTAAAAAACTAATTTCAGAGCACCTGGGACACTGGGGGTTGAAGCCCCTGCAGAGCTCCAGGCTTGCAGCCCAGCAAGTCTCCCAAAGTGTTTGCTGTTGACCTAAGGGGGCCCAGCAGGGTGGCAGATGTGTCCTCTCTGCTCACCTGCATCTGAATTGCAGGTGTCAGGATTAGCAAGGAGAAACCACATTCAGAAACATGTCTTTGGTTGCTAAATAGAAAAACAGTTCATATCTTAAAAAAAAAAAAAAATCCCCCAAACCACACATACACACAAAAACCAAAATTCAAATAAACAAAAACTAATTTCAACTACATTTCCTAACACTCATCAAAATAAAGCAGAGACATCACTTTGCTGACAAAGATCCATCTACTCAAAGCTATGGTTTTCCCAGTAGTCGTATATAGCCCCTTGGACAGCAAGGTGATCAAAACAGTCAATCCTAAAATAAATCAACCCTGAATATTCATTGGAAGGACTGATGCTGAAGCTGAAGCTCCAATGCTTTGGCCACCTGATGCAAAAACCCAACTCACTGGAAAAGACCCCGATGCTGGGAAACATTGATGGCAAGAGGAGAAGGGGGCGACAGAGGATAAGATGACTGGATGGCATCACTGACTCCATGGGCATGAATCTAGCCAGGCTCCTCTGTCCATAGGATTTTCCAGGCAAGAATACTGGAGTGGGCTGCCATGCCCTCCTCCAGGGGATCTTCCTGACTCAGGGATCGAATCGGAGTTGCTTATGTCTCCTGCATTGTAGGTGGGTTCTTTACCACTAGCGCCACCTGGGAAGCCCCAGCTCCATGCACACTCAGCTTCAAAGTGTGAAGCTGGTTGGATTTGGGTGGAAACCTCAGGACAGGCCAAGTGCCAGAGTGGGATGGTGGGACCTTAGAGGCCTCATTCCAGCCTGTCTGGATGTAAAGGCCCCTCAAAGGAGGTGACGTTGGCTGAAAGTCAGGGTGGCTAGTACCCTCCAGGGAGGGAGGAAGGTAGGGGAGAACTGGTCAAGGCGATGTCTAGCTACACAGTGGACAAGGACAGTGTTGCTCTACCATCTGTCTCCACAGGCCACTTTGCCTCATTTCATAATATCTAGAACCAATTGTACTTCTCCATAACAAATATTTTTCTTTACATTAATTCCCTTTTTAAAGCTTTTTTTTTTTTTTAAATATTTATTTGGCTGCATCGGGTCCATGAAGTAGCACATGGGCTCCAGAGCACACAGGCTCAGTAGTGGTGGCCTGTGGGCTTAGTTGCCCTTTGGCATGTGGGATCTTAATTCCCCAACCAGGGATCAAACCTGTGTCCCCTGCATTGGAAAGTGGATTCTTAACCACCAGGGAAGTCCCTCACTCCCTTCTACAATGAAATATATTTAGTATTTGCTTAAAAGAGAGTCACATGCTTTTGATAGACTCGAGTAATTACAAGAGGCAAGGGGAGCCCTTTGTGTTCTTGAGCATCTATCTCATCTACTTCCCCACGGCATCCTGGCCTCTCTCTGGCCTCGGTCCTCCCAGCTGTGAGATGGAAAATCAGCGATTCTCCAACTGTGCTCCTTGGGTCCTGCAGGGATTCTTCAAACACTTCAGTTCAAATGTTTTAAAATGAATAAAGTTTTACTATTTAAAAAACTAATTTCAGAGCACCTGGGACACTGGGGGTTGAAGCCCCTGCAGAGCTCCAGGCTTGCAGCCCAGCAAGTCTCCCAAAGTGTTTGCTGTTGACCTAAGGGGGCCCAGCAGGGTGGTAGATGTGTCCTCTCTGCTCACCTGCATCTGAATTGCAGGTGTCAGGATTAGCAAGGAGAAACCACATTCAGAAACATGTCTTTGGTTGCTAAATAGAAAAACAGTTCATATCTTAAAAAAAAAAAAAAATCCCCCAAACCACACATACACACAAAAACCAAAATTCAAATAAACAAAAACTAATTTCAACTACATTTCCTAACACTCATCAAAATAAAGCAGAGACATCACTTTGCTGACAAAGATCCATCTACTCAAAGCTATGGTTTTCCCAGTAGTCGTATATAGCCCCTTGGACAGCAAGGTGATCAAAACAGTCAATCCTAAAATAAATCAACCCTGAATATTCATTGGAAGGACTGATGCTGAAGCTGAAGCTCCAATGCTTTGGCCACCTGATGCAAAAACCCAACTCACTGGAAAAGACCCCGATGCTGGGAAACATTGATGGCAAGAGGAGAAGGGGGCGACAGAGGATAAGATGACTGGATGGCATCACTGACTCCATGGGCATGAATCTGAGCAAACTCTGGGAGATGGTGAAGGACAGGGAAGCCTGGTGTGCTGCAGTCCATGGGGTTGCAAGGAGTTAGACACAACTGAAACTGAACAACAACATCAAAATAAATATAACAATAAAAATAAGAAACGTTTGGGACTTCCCTGGTGGTCTGGTGGTTAAGAATCTGCCTGCAATACAGGAGATGCAGGAGAGGTGAGTTTGATCCTTGGGTCAGGAAGATCCCTTGGAGGAGGAAACTGCAACCCACTGCATTATTCTTGCCTGGAGAATCCCATGGACAGAGGAGCCTGGAGAGCTACAGTCCACGGGGGTTGCAAAGAGTTGAACATGACTCAAGTGACTGAGCACACAAATATTAAAGAAAGAAACGTTCACCACCTAAGTGGTCTCATCCAGCAGTATGGGAAGCCCTGGATGAAAGCTCGGCAGGAAGAGAAAGCAGAGACTCAGGAGGCCCTGGGGGGGTGTGGCCGGCAGGGAGCTCCGAGGGGCCAGGTCTGGCCAGGGTGCGGGGTGGCGCACGGCGCCCTTACCTTGTGGGTGAGCGAGTGCTGCTTGAGGTGGTGGATCTGGCTGAACTCCATGCCGCACTCGGTGCACACGAAGGGCCGCACGTTCTGGTGCTTGAGCATGTGATTCTGCAGCTGGCTGCGGTAGTGGAAGGACTTGTCGCACTCCAGGCACTGGTAGAGGGTGGGGCCCTGGTGGGAGGCCAGGTGGCGCTTGAGCTGCGTCAGCGTCGAGAAGTCCAGGCCGCACTCGACGCACACGTGGCAGCGGCCGCTCTCATGCTTCACCTCGTGGGCCTTGAGCTCGCTGGGGTAGGCGAAGCCGCGGCCGCAGAAGTGGCAGCTGTAGGGCTTGACCTCCGAGTGCAGCAGCATGTGGCGCTTGAGGTGGCTGGTCTGCGTGAAGGCCTTCTGGCACACCTGGCACTTGTGTGGCCGGGTGCCCTGGTGCGTCAGCAGGTGCGTCTGCAGGTGGCTGGGCTGCTTGAAGAGCTTGCTGCAGTGCGGGCACGAGTGCGGCTTGATGCCGTTGTGGCCCAGGATGTGCGTCACCAGGTTGTACTTGGACGTGTAGGACTTCTCGCACATGCGACACTGCCAGCGCTTCTGCCGGTCGCCGGCCTCCACCAGGTACGAGTCGTCGATCTGCACGTTGATGTCCAGCCGGTCCAACTGGGCCTTCTTGTGGCGTTCCACCGTCGAGCCGGCCGTGTCCGCTTCGAACTCGCCCGCCTCCTGCCACACGAAGCCCTGCTCCGGCTTCACGGGCTCCGGGGACTCCATGGTGGGGGGCTCGGGGTCGCTCAGTGGGGGCAGGTGCGGCGGCTCGAAGCCACACTCCACGGGCAGGGCCTCCGGCCTGGGCAGCGCCATGCTGGGCTCGGGGAAGGCGTCCCGGGCCGGGTCGGGGAAGTGGGGGTCAAAAGGGGCTACGTCCAGCTCCGGCCGCGGGGCGCGGGGCAGGTGCCGCAGCGTCCGGGGCTTGCGGCTGAAGACGCTGAGGTCGATCATCTTGACTGCGCTGCTTTGCACCAGGGCCTCGCAGCCGCCGCCGGCCGCCTCGGCAGGGGTCTCTGCTGGGCCGGCATCCTTGTCATCGCTGCCGGGCACCGACACCTCGTAGACTTCCTCCTCCTCCTCCACCTTCTCAAACTTGACCTTGGGCACCAGGCGCACGGGCGGCCGCGTCTTCCGCCGGGTGTGCTTCTCGAAGGCTGCCTCCACCTCCAGCACCTCCTCCTCGGCCGGCTCCTCCAGGGCCCGCCCGTTGCAGGCCAGCTGGTAGACGTCGGGGCCGGGGGGTCGGGGCTCCCCTATGGCCGCCCCGGACAGCTCCGGCCCCAGGTCCGGGTAGAAGGCTTCGGCGCTTATGGTGGCTCCAAAGAGCTCATTTTCCGAGACCAGGCCCAGCACGGCGGCCTGAGCCAAAGACAGCACCACCACGGCATCAGTCTGTGTCCCTGAGTCCATGAAGCCCTCCATCCCGCGGCGGCTGGCTAGGAGGGCATCGCTACGGGAAGAGAAGGGAACGTCAGCACCGCCAGCTCAAGGCTACCAGACGGACGACGGATACACACTCAGCAAGGGCTTCCCCAAGTCTGACTGTGTCTGCCCCCAACATCTTTCTATTCCTGCCCTGGGACCAGGGCATAGGGTAATTACGGGGAGCCATGACATCCTCTGTGTGTCTGATCTTCCTTAGCCTCCATCTCCCTGTTGGGGTCCTGGGTAAGCCCTGCCCCCTTGCTGGCCTCAGTCTTCCCATCTGTGAAATAGGGAGGCTGGGTTTCCCCAGTGGTACAGGAGTTACCCAAAGAATCGGATCCAAAATGGCAAACACTAAAGATTCTGCTCTTTTAAAAACTGATGTTAAAAAACCCCATCTTTACTCAAATGAAATATATACCTTGTCCCCACACAATGGCTTTGTGGCCAAGGTATAATTAATTTTACACTGACCTTGAGTCTGTACAGTGAGCTGTTAAACAACTGTCACCATTTCCTTGGCCATGTGAATGTGGTGTTTTGGGTTTTTAAATATATTGGGCAAGAACAAGGCAACACACAAAAATAAATTAGGTGCCGAGGCCAAGCTCAGACAGTAGTTACCACCTGTCAGCCCTGATGTTAAATGACTGTGCCTTGCACAACAGGTCATTGCTCTTGATTAGCTAAATGTTGCACATTTAACGACCTAAGTTTACACCGATTAAAATATAGCTTGTGTCTGATATGTACCCTGGAATTTCATGAAAGATCTGATTTGAAAGGAGTCTGTGATGGCTAACAAGCTGGAGAAGACTGGCTGAAGTGAATGCTAAAATCAGCTCCCAGCTTCACAGCCACGTTCTCTGATCCAACAGGTGCTTCTAAAAAAGCCACTGAGCCCACCCGTCCAGGTCCGAAGCATGGGCGTCGGCTTCCTGCCTTCCTAGGGGACCCGCCACACCAGTGCCCTTGGCAATTTTGCACAGGGTTCTCCCACCCGGGTGCCCTTTCCCCAGCCCCAGTGAGCTCCTGGCTCCTCCCACCAGCTCCCCAGGCTTCCCTGACATTGCCGCAGCTGCTTCCAAGCTCTCCCTGACAGCCGGGATGTAGGAGGGCCTCCTCCCTGGCCTGGGGTACTCATCAGATTGCACCCTGCCCCCCAGCACAGCACAACAGAGGCGCTCCATGAAGAAGGGGGAAGACAGGACTGGGGTGGCTCCTGCCTGCTCTCCTCTGGGGCCAGGGTCAGGTGCATGGCAGCGGCCCTTCCTCAGGAAGCAGGCTCCCGGCCGGTGTCTCCCTCCCCCCAACAGGCCAGAGGAGCTTCCCCTTCCTGAAGCTGGCTAAAAATAAAACACCCCAGAGAGGAATTTTAGCCTCCTTGAAATGGACGCTAAAGATTAAACTATTGAGCTTAAAGCAGGGCTCTCAGATGGAAGGAAAACCTCTGGAACAGGCTGGGGGTTGGGAGAGGGTGGCTAGCCCTGATGGAGAGAGCTCACCCTCCCACCCCGCATTGTTAAGAACACTCAGCTGGGAGTCAGGCAGCCTGGCCTAAAGTCCTAGCTCTGTCACATACAAGTGACTAAGCAAAGTCACTTCTGCATCTCAATTCCTGATCCAAGAATGGGGGAGGGGGACTTCCCTGGGGGGTCCAGTGGTTAAGACTCTGCATTCCCAATGCAGGGGGGAACCCAATGCAGGGCTCCATCCCTAGTCAGGGGAACTCTAACACCCCCCCCAAGCTGCATGGCATGGCCAAAATAAATAAATAAATAAAATTAACTGGACCACCAGGGAAGTCCTCAAAGAAGCAGACTTTTCGGATGAAAACCACAGACCTGAGAGATTTCTCCATTCTGGGGTCCCAAATTCATCAAAGGTTTGGGTGATTCTACATCAGCCTCTAGAGACTAAGACTCATTTGATCATTGCAACAAATAATTTGCTAAATCCCTGCTCTGGGTGGGGCCCTGTGCTTGGAGATGAAAGGCAATGAGGTCCCCCGTGGTGTCCAGAGGAGACTGCTGTGCCCACTGCAACCCCCCTGCCTCCCCGGGCGGGGAGCCCCACTGCCTCAGAGGACAGCAGCCCATCTGACACAGCGCCCAGCAGTGCCCAGCGGCAGCCCTCCTGTCAGCTGTGGGCTTGAGAAAACAGGCAGCTCAGCACTTTTTCCAGACTTCCCCAAAGGCAGGGCCAGCAGAGGGGAGGGACTGACCCGCAGCGGCGCAGCCTGTGCCGGGACTTGGCCTGGATTCCGATTTCAGATCTGGACTTTGCGTTTCTGGTTCAGGCTCATCCTGTCATGCCCTGAGCCTCAGTTTCCTCATCTCTGCCGAGGGGGAGGTGATGCCTCAATCCTGGGGTGCTGAGGACATGAGATGAGCATGTCGGCGGAGATGTCAGTCCCTCCCCTGTGCTTTTCTTTCTTTCCCCCCCAAAATCCCACCTAATTTATTTTTAATGGGAGGAGAATTGCTTTACAATGTTGTGTTGGTTTCTGCCATACAACAGCATGAATCAGTCATAAGTGTACATACGGTTCTTTCCTCTTGGACCTCCCTCNCCCACCCCATCCCACCCCTCTAAGTTGTCACAGAGCCCCAGGATTGAGCTCCCTGAGTCATATGGCGAATTCCCACTATCTTCCTGTTTTACCCATGGGGATGTCTATGTTTCCAGGCTACTCTCTTCAATCATCCCACCCTCTCATTTCTACAAGTCTGTCCTCTATTTCTGTGTCTCTATTGCTGCCCTACAAATAGGTGGATCAGTGCTATTTTTCTAGATTCCATATCCCCTGTGCTTTTCTCCAGGCCCCAGTACCTGGCCGCACCCCTCTTCTAGCACCTGAAGGGAATGGGAGCAAAGAAACCCATAACGTCACTCCATTGGCAGATGAGGGCTTCTCAGGTGGTACAGTGGTAAAGAACCCGCCTGCCAATGCAGGAGACGTGGGTTTGATCCCTGAGTAGGGAAGATTCCTTGGAAGAGGAAATGACAACTCACTCCATATTCTTGCCTGGAAAATCCACGGATAGAGGAGCCTGGAGGGCTACAGTCCATGGGGTCGCAGAGTCAGACATAACTGAGCACACACATACATCGGCAGATGAGCGCCTGCCCCTGGAAGCACATGTCTGGGGTGGCCCCCCACAAGGAGGGTGGTCATGTAACATTCCAGCCCTGTTAGGAGCAACCTTCTAAGAGCAAAAGGGCCACTCCCAAGGCTCACACCAGGAACCCAGGTGCAAGCTGAACCTGCCCCCGGCCACCATGCGTCCCCCTCCCACAGGAACAGGCTGGTGGTTTTACTTCGGGGCTGAGGACTACAGCCGTGCCTGGCTGTAGAAGCGGACCTGCCCACAGTCCTTGCTCTCAAGGTGTTTGTGCTCAAGTGCAGGAACAGAGCTGCCAACAACTAACCACAAACGCTCAGCAGGTCCTAGGCAAGCCTTTTAATCCTAAAACAACCCCGTGGGGGTGGGCGGTGGAAGGCACCACATTCCACCGCCCGGGAATCCGAGGTGTAACTAGCAAGTTCAAGAGCGCCCTAAGAGGGGACTTCCCTAGCAGTCCAGTACTGAAGACTCTGTTTCCAATGAAGGGGGCATGGGTTTGATCCCTGGTTGGGGAACTAAAAGATAAAACAGTGCCCAGGCAGCGAGGGCAGCACTGGGTCAGCACCTGGGCCCATCCAGGCTCGGCACCTGCAGCTCCGCTCCGTGGTCTGTGCAACCTGGGGGGCCATGTCTTGGCTCTGAGCCCTCCCTCCTCAGGCTCCTGAGCCAGCAGGAATGCACGGGCAGACCCAGGACAAACGCGAAGCCTCAGACCTGCTCCTGTCTGGCTGGTCCACGGCTCCAGCCGGACTGGGCAATGGGGGTCCCCTTCCAGAGCAGCGAGAGCCCCTCTCTCCTTGGGTCTCCACGCAGAAAGCACTTCTTCCTGGGAGCCTTGATTAACCCACCCGCCGGTCAGGCCCTGCTTAACCGACACATATCACCCTGTAAGTGCATGCTGAAGGGGCTGAGTGTTCACGGGGGCAGCCAGGCAGGCTGTGTGTGTGTGTCTGTGTGTGTGTGGAGGAGGAGCTGTGTTTGTTGAGACAGAGGCCCGGAGAAAGAAGACAGAGGGAATCTAATTTTCCAGCGTTTCACACGCGTGTTTGTCCGCCTATTTCACATGGGGCCGGGGGTTGGGAAGCTGGGGGCTTTGCAACCTGGATGCCATCATCCCTCTTCCTCCTGGGCCATCTTTTTGCGCCGCCACCCTGCTCCTTCTCACAGGCCACAGCCCTCCTTTTTAACATCCTGGCACAGGCTGCCCGGGGCAGGAGCCGAGCCCCACCTGTGCGCCAGGGCGGGGCCCCACACCTCAGGGCCCTTCTTGTCGTCTGTCTGTGTCCTCTTGTGGCGTGTGGCTTCTCAGGGCAAGGCCTCTCTCCCACCCCTTGTCCTGTGGGCTCAGAACAAAAGCTGTCTACAGTGTCCCAGAGAAAGGGGAACTCAGACCGCCCTGGGCTCAGCACTGCCTGGGCTATGAGATGAGGGGAAGCCAGGGGAGGGGATACGCCTCAGCCTCCTACGAGGACACCCTGGTCCCCGGGGTGGAGAGAAAAGGAATGGAAAAGACAGGGAGACAGAGGAAATAGAATCACTGCTTGACTGTAGTGTGAAGATCTGCAAGGGGAACTGGGGGGCCATGTCTTGGCTCTGAGCCCTCCCTCCTCAGGCTCCTGAGCCAGCAGGAATGCACGGGCAGACCCAGGACAAACGCGAAGCCTCAGACCTGCTCCTGTCTGGCTGGTCCACGGCTCCAGCCGGACTGGGCAATGGGGGTCCCCTTCCAGAGCAGCGAGAGCCCCTCTCTCCTTGGGTCTCCACGCAGAAAGCACTTCTTCCTGGGAGCCTTGATTAACCCACCCGCCGGTCAGGCCCTGCTTAACCGACACATATCACCCTGTAAGTGCATGCTGAAGGGGCTGAGTGTTCACGGGGGCAGCCAGGCAGGCTGTGTGTGTGTGTCTGTGTGTGTGTGGAGGAGGAGCTGTGTTTGTTGAGACAGAGGCCCGGAGAAAGAAGACAGAGGGAATCTAATTTTCCAGCGTTTCACACGCGTGTTTGTCCGCCTATTTCACATGGGGCCGGGGGTTGGGAAGCTGGGGGCTTTGCAACCTGGATGCCATCATCCCTCTTCCTCCTGGGCCATCTTTTTGCGCCGCCACCCTGCTCCTTCTCACAGGCCACAGCCCTCCTTTTTAACATCCTGGCACAGGCTGCCCGGGGCAGGAGCCGAGCCCCACCTGTGCGCCAGGGCGGGGCCCCACACCTCAGGGCCCTTCTTGTCGTCTGTCTGTGTCCTCTTGTGGCGTGTGGCTTCTCAGGGCAAGGCCTCTCTCCCACCCCTTGTCCTGTGGGCTCAGAACAAAAGCTGTCTACAGTGTCCCAGAGAAAGGGGAACTCAGACCGCCCTGGGCTCAGCACTGCCTGGGCTATGAGATGAGGGGAAGCCAGGGGAGGGGATACGCCTCAGCCTCCTACGAGGACACCCTGGTCCCCGGGGTGGAGAGAAAAGGAATGGAAAAGACAGGGAGACAGAGGAAATAGAATCACTGCTTGACTGTAGTGTGAAGACCTGCAAGGGGAACCGGGGGGAGGGGGGCCACAGCAGAGAGAGACAGAGAGAGGGGGAGAGAGAGGGAGGGAAGGAGGGAGGGAGAGAGGGAGGGAAGGAGAGAGGGAGAGAGAGGCTGTGGAGGCAGAGAAACAAAAGCAGGGAGGGGGAGGGGGAGGAGGAGCCTGCAGAGGGGGAGGGGACTGTGCCGGTGACACCAGAAGCCCAGGGCTGTCCTATTTCCCAGGGTTTAGCATCACCCCCACCAAGGCCTGAAGGCCAGCCCAGCCCCTGGGGAAAGACACAATCTCATTCCTGGAGGCCCAGCAGGAGGCTTCCTCAGCCCCCGGCAGGGCCGCAGGGCCCCCAGAGCTCTCACTGTTGCTTCATCTATTGCTGTGTTAAGGTCCCTGTAAAACACTGACACAAGCTTGTCAAATGAATGAATGAGTGACTTGCTCGGTGACCCTGGACAAAGTCACCTGGTCCCTCAGGGTCTCAGTTTCCTCATCTGTAAAATGGGCACAAGCAGCTTCTTGGGAACTTGAGGGCAGGTTAATCCTTAGCTTACCTGCCTGTCTTCTGGGGTCCCCTCCCTCCCCAAGACAGGAGCCCACTTCCTCTCAGCCACACTGCTTTAAAAGCTCCTTTCCTCTCATGGAGACCCCCGCCTTCAGGCACCAGGGGAGGGTCATGGAGCTCAGGGCCACCAATGTCCCTGGGAACCAGACAGCGGGGCAGAGCAGTTGAGGCCTGGTCTTGCTTGAGGCTGGCAAGACAGAAGTCATTTGGAAGGAAGAACCAATAAGACTTTGTGACCATCTGGCTATTCTTTGCCTCACTCTTGCCACCGGGGCATCTCAAAAACCAACTGAAGACACAGGAATGCTCCGGGGCTTTTGCCCAGTCTTGGGATGTCACTCAGTAGTACCTTGTGACCCATTACCCTCATGATGATTTTTGAGGCCCCACAGAGCCCTGGGCTCCTGCTGGGGAGGCAGGTTCACCCCTTCAGTACTGCAACTGAGTCACTGACTCAACACACTGCCAGGTGCTGGGTACCATTCTTGGTTGTGAGGATAAAGTTGTTGCTGTTGTTCAGATCCTAAGTGGTGTCTGACTCTTTGTGACCCCATGGACTGTAGCCCGCCAGGCTCCTCTGTTCATGGAATTTTCCAGGCAAGAATACTAGAGTGGGTTGCCATTCCCTTCTCTAGAGATCTTCCTGACCCATGGATGGAACCTGGGTCTCCTGCATTGGCAGGAGGATTCTTTACCACTGTGCCACCTGGGAAGTCCAAGAATATGGTAAGAAGCATAAGTTCCCACACCGGGGGAGCTGCTCTGAGCAAGCTCAGTCTAAAACCCGAGGCACCAGGAACTTTGGGAGGTGGAACACTGGGCTCAGGCGGGTACAGGACCCCCACAGAATAGCCCCTGGGTCCTGAGAGGCTGAACTCTGAGTGGCAGGGACAGGACCAGTGCCTGCGCCCAGGGAGGGGGGTAGGGATTGTCAGGTATGAAAACGACTGTTTAAAAAAAAAAGCCACTCACGGACTTCAGCTTAGAGCAAAACCACCCTCTTTGTTTCCTCTGTTGTCCCCCTCTTAAGGGTAAACTCTACTCACATCCCATGAAAGGAAAAGGAAGCGAAAGTAAAGGCTGGAGCTTTGTGCAAACCTCAGGGCTCCTTGCCGCAGTCTCACTTCTGTCCGGCCCACAAGGTCTCACTGGACTCTGGAGCTGACGAGGCGGCCAGGCTGGGGGTGGGGTGGCCCAGGGGGAAGTGTCCGAGGCTCTTCCTTA